ATATAAAACAGTTTGGCGGTCTTCAAAAACTTAAATATATTAATCATTAAAGCTCAAGAAAAAAAAACCTTCACTACAGAATTACCATATAACCCAGCAATCCCACTCCTAAGTGTAAATACATCTAAATGAAATGAAAACAAATATCCATGCAAAAACTTATACACAAATGCTCATAGAAGCATTATTCATAATAGCCAAAAAGTAGAAACAACTCAAATGCCCATCAAGAGATGAATGGATGAACAAAATGTAGTACATTCATACAATGAAATATCATTCAGTCATAAAGAAGGAATGAAATACTGATATGTGCTACAATATAGATAAATCTTGAAAACATGCTAAAAGAAGCCAGACATAAAAGGCCACATATTATATGATTGTAGTTATATGAAATTTACAGAATAGGAAAATCCATAGAGACACAAGGTAGATTGGTTGTTTCTAGGGGACAGGGAGAAGAAGAAATGGGGGAGGGGGTGGCTGCTTAATGGGTATAGTGTTTCTTTTTGAAGTGATGAAAATGTTCTAGAACTGGGTAGTTGCACAACATTGTGAATATACCGAAAACCACTGAATTTTACATTTTAAAACTGTTAAAATGGCAAAAATTTATTTTATGTGTATTTTATCTCAAACAGGCGAAAAAAAGAATTAGTGAACTGGAAAACAGGTCAGAAGAAAATACTCAGAATGCAGCACTAAGAGACAAAACCATGGAAAATATAGAAGTTAGGATAAAAGTACGGAGAAGGGCTAGCACATATTTAATTCGGGTATAGGAAGAGGGGAGAAAGATAATGAAGCAGAAGGAATATTGGAAGGTATAATATTTCATACTTTTCTAAAACTTATAAAAATCATATATGTATAGGTTTAAGAAAGCCAACTAACATCAAGTGGGATAATTTTTTTAGTCTTACCTAGATACATCACAGTGAAACTTTAGAAAACCAAAAACGTAAAGACCAGAGAATAAAAAGTGTTTAAAGGAAGAAGAGATTGACAGGTGACATCCCATCAACAACAACAGAAGAGATAGTGAAATGATATATTCAGTGTACTGAAAGGGGGGAACATGCCAACCTAAAATTCTATCCCCAGCAAAAATATATTTTAGAAATAAACACAATATAAAGACCATATCAGACAAACAAAAACCAGGACAGCTCATAACCAGCAGTCAATTTAGATTTCCCTACAAAGAAATCTAAAGAGTTTTCTACAGTAGAAAAAAAAATGATTCAAGATGAACAGATAGAGATCCAAGGACTGAAGAGCCAGTGGGTATAAACACATAGGTAAATCTAAATGAACACTCACTGTATAAAATAATAAGTATCATGCATTATAAGGTTTAAAATGAGTATACATAGATTTTATAAAGATAAAGGTTAATAGTCTCTATACGAAAAGCTTCTATAAATCAATAAAAAGTAAATAGAAAATAAACAGCTGATATGAATGACAATTCACAAAAGTATAAATGGCCATTAAACATAGTAAGCATGGTCAATCTCACTAATGACCAGCAAAATGCAAATTAAAGGATACACCTTTTTTTGTCTATCAAATTAGCAAAAAAACTCTTTAAAAATATGATAATGTCCTTGGGTTCGTATCGATATGGACAAACAGAAGATCTTGGATCCCAGAGAGAATATAAATTGGTAAAACCTTTTCAGAGAGCATTCTGATAGAACCTAGCAAACTTTTAAGAGAGCATGCTCTCTACAAAAGCAATTCTTCTAGGAATATAGCCAACATAAATATGCAATGTGCAATGATATTTACAACAATATTCACTGTAACATTGTTTATAATAGCACAAAGTTGGAGAGAAGATAAATGTCATCAAGAAAGGTTAAATAAATTATGCATTTATCCATAGAAGGAAATACTGTATAGACAGTAAAAAAGAATTAGGAGATGTTAATAATACTGTATTGTATTCTTGAAATTTGCTAAGAAAATAGGTCTTAAATACAATATTATTTCTAGAAATTTGGGGGACAGTTAGGCAGCTGTACATGCTCATTTTTATTATTTTAACATTTTTTTATTTTAACTTTTTTTACAGAAAAACTTTATTACTCTTGTAATTGGTAGAAAAAAGTATAAAGGAAAAATATAATTGCTTTGATAGGTTTACCCACACTGTATTTGCCCAGGAGAAGCATCAAAGTCTGCCTGTAGAAATTAAGGGAGTTTTACAAGTATGGGTTCACCTGCAATACCAAGGAGGCGGGGAAAGCCAGGGGCCTAGAGAACCTGTTCTGCAAACCTCCAGCTGTTCGGCTACAGATGGGATCCACAGTACCAAGAAGAGGAGGATGAACACACCTGTGAATTCATACTGCCAGAGGCAATGCATGAAGTCAGGTGGCTTCTGCTAGTCAGACGCATCTCCAGGTCAAATAAGCTCAAGGAGCTCTGGTCTGGGCAAAGGGGAGCCACTGTAGTTTCTTGAGCAAGGGACGACAGGTGAGACAGGGGGAGGACAGCAAGAAAGCAAATGATGACAATAGGTGATTCATTCATTCAACACACAAGGAAGGCACTGTTCCATGCATCAGGCCTGTGCCAGGACCTGGGGCTAGGAGCTGAAATAGCCCAAATCCCTGCCTCGGGGCATCCCCTGGAGGGAGGGAGGGAGGGAGGGAGGGAGGGAGGGAGGGAGGGAGGGAGGGAGAGAGAGAGAGAGAGAGAGAGAGAGAGAGAGAGAGAGAGAGAGAGAGAATGAAAGCACAACCAGTAAGGATGGAAGCCAGACGTGTCCATGGGGTCCTAGGAGCCCAGAGAAAGGGCCTCTAGCCCCACCTGGGCCCAGGGAAGAGTCCCTCAAGGTGACCCAAAGCTAAAGGAGTCCTAGGAGCACAGAGGAATAAGTCAGACAGAGACACCTACAGGGGCCTCTGGCCTTCAAATTTGGTCAGGTTGCAGATCGGTGAAGAGAGGGAGGACGTGTGTATGGGGGTTGGTTGTGGGGGATGTGAAGAGGGTGGCAGATCTCTAGGAAGGGGGAGCCGCACAGAATGAGCTCCCGTGTGGGTTTACCACTCTCTCCAACATTGCTAAGGACGGGAGGGTGGAAGTCAGAACATGTACCTTACAAAACATACATGACTCCCTGTGAAATTCTACCTACTTCATTATCATGTCTTATTTGTAAAGGGAATGAAAATTTTTTTTCTTATTCACATCTCATTGGAGAAAGAAGAAAATCTTAATAAGCAAAGCTGAATAAAAACAGAACTAAAAGCTTTGCAAGAGCCATTCTCAAAGTTTTTTCCACGTTAATCCACATGACTTCTATCTGCTATAGGAATTTGCAGAAGAGATTATCTAGTTTTCTGAATTCATGTATCTTCAAGCCCAGAGGCAGGCACACAAACATTCAAAGTTCTTGACTGAAGCCATGGTCCCCTCCGTCTGTGAAGCTACAGTCTTCAGAAAGCCAAGGCACCTTCACAGAAAGGAGGTGGCACTGTGGGTGTCAGGAAGCATCTACCCTGGGGTCAGGACACACAGGCCACCTCACTCCCGGACTGGGCCGGCAGAGGGAGGGTGCCAAGCTGTGAGGCCCCAGTGGTGGCCAGATTCTGATCCTTAGTGCCCACATAAACTTTCCTCCTCTCTCCTCGCCCAAAAGCGAAGAGTACTAACTGTGTGCTGTGGGTTGAGATGGGGTTACATGTAACTGTCCCCTTCGATCCTGCTTTCTCTAAATGTGGAGAGGCCAAGTCTACTCACAAGGCCATGAGAGGCTGAGGGTCGCCATAGACAAATCCCCCAAGTATTAGGTGAGGGTTACAACGATACAAACGCTAATCGCTCTTCCTTGTTGGCCAGTACTAGCTTCAGGTGCTGGATTTTCTTACTTTTTCACTTTATGCCACAAACAGTAACTAGCAGAACTTCTTAACTTCCCAACAACTTAATTCTCTGTGAGGTATATTTCTCCAAGCACCCTGGGAATGGCCAGAGGGACTTGTTAACCGAAACAGTTTTTGTCTGGAATCTCTCCTTGTTAATGGTGTCCGACAGATGATCAATAGCCAGCCTGCTTAGAAATGCCAGTCTGAATATTCCCAGGAAAGGACAACTGGATTATTAGTGGCTAATGAATCCTACAATGGGACATTTACTGCTGTATCCTGGGCTTCTGCACAGGAGACTGGCTGCTGTCCCTCATCACATAAAAATAGTTTTGTGGGGGATTTTTGAAACTGCTCCTCCTGTACTATATATAATATTTTCTTTGTCTTTGGGGACCCAATTACAGTACCTGGATGGTTTCTCTAATCCTTGCACCTGCTGCATCTGACACCAATCAGTGGGAGATGTCTGGATGCTGCAGACAAGATGTATCTTACTTTGCACACAGACTGTGAACCAAAGCTTTGCAATTTGAATCCTTATTCCAGGTTTATAGGACCAGTTTAGAAATGTTTCTAAGATTATATACAATTGTTTATTGATCATGTATGTTAGAACAACACCTTCCCTTTATTGTCATCTGTGTGCCAGGCATCATCCTAGGTGCTGCAGGTATATTTTATTACTTAATCCTCATAGACCTCCTTGGAACTGGCATATTGGTCTTCATTTTCTAGATAAGCAAAGTGAGGGTTGGAGAAGTAACATGGTTTGCTTCGGGTGATGCAGCTAGTAGGTGCTGACGCTGGGTTAAATCCATACTTGTATGACAACAAGCTCATGCTTTTCACACTGTAGGATACTGCCACCTCCTTTCTTTCATTCATTCATTCATCTACCAACCAGCACTGGAGGAGTACCTTACAGGGGCCAGGTATGGGGAATTCAGAGACACATCTTACTTGAGCAGATCCACAACTGGACAATTATTGTCACTTTCGGGTCAGAGATGTGGAATTTCCAGGTTTCTGCTATGCTCACAAAACAGAGAGCTGGCATGAAAGTATCTGAGAGCAAATCGACATCAACAGGCACCCTGCCCCACCCCTCCCCCTTACCATCTCCGGTTTTGCTTGGGTTGGGGGGCTCAGGAGTGCTCAGAGGCCTAAGGGGAATAATGATCTCATCAACGTTAACCCCTTCTTCCATGTGCTTCTCAGAAACGTGGGAGAGGAGTTCCGACTGGTTTGGTGAGAAAAGGTTACAACATTTACACATGAAGATGGGCGTGTTTTCTGTAAGAAATAAAAAGAAAAATATGTTAATTTCATCTCCACATACAGTTATTACTTCTAATTACAAAGAACACATGGAAGGCTGCCCTTTGAGCAATCACCAGGCTCTACCAGGTTGTGGCCCTCTGGTGGACACCTCCACACCAGGCAGCATACTTCCATCTTCAGGGGGCTCCGGTTGCCAGAAAGTTTTCTCTTCAGTATTTCGAAACCTGTCCTTCTGGATAGTGTCTAATATGGACTTTGTGGTTACCCCAATCTACTCAACATCCCAGATTCCAATACAGGTACAGCCAAGAAAGAAATGAATACGAAACTTAAAAAATTAAATCCTACTCTTCAAATGAATGAACTGCACTGACAGCAATTAAGTATGCTTGCTAGATGCTCTCAAATTAGGTACAAGGAAAAATTAACCAAAATAGCATTTCTCAAGAGCCAAGACACCTTTCCATGAAAGGATGGGAATTTGTTGCTTTTTTTTAAGCCACTTAATTCCTATTTAATGCATTATCATCATTCACAAATATTGACTAATAGTTCATTATATTCTCATCCCATACTAGGCAAGAAGATATAATGAGAGAAAAAGAACACTTATTTTTAATCTAATAAAATAATTATACAAAATATTAAGTTTAGGATCTAGGCCAGGCATGGTGGCCCATGCCTGTCATCCCAGCACTTTGGAAGGCTGAGGCAAGAGAATCACTTGAGGCCAGGAGTTTGAGACCAGCCTGGGCAACATAGTGACACCTCATCTCTACAAAACAATTTTTAAAACATTAGCCTGGCATGATGGTGCACACCTGTAGTCCCAACTACTCGGGAGGCAGAGGTGATAGGACCCTTGATCCCAGGCTGCAGTGAGTATGATCATGCCTCTGCACTCCAGCCTGGGCAACAGAACTTGACCTTGTATCTAATAAAAAGGAGGGGGAGGCAATGCACCCCTTATTGCCTGCACCTGGGAAGACTGACCCCATAGCCCTCCCTGGGAATGTTACTGGACAAAGGGCACACAAAGGCCTGTGTGTGCAGAACCCACTCCCACCCTCCCACTCAACAACACTGTTCCAGTCATTTTGGCTTCTTCCCTCGCTACTGAAACTCTCCTGTCGGCCTGCAAACACGCACTTGTTCTCCCATCTTAAAACAAAAACCTCTCTTCTCCCCATCCCATTTCTCTCCTTCTCTTACAGCAAAACTCCCCGAGCAGGAAGGCGAAATAAGGAAAAAAGGCGCCAGGCCAGCACGGCATCTCAGGGTGAGGGCGGAAGCTCCGCAAGGTACTGCGGCCACAGGAGTGAGCCCCTTTGGATCTAACAGAAGGGCTTTCGCCACGAACAAGCAGGGAAGGTAATGACCTAAGAGAATTCTTTCCTACCGAACAACACACAAAATCAAAATTTAACAAAGCAGAACACTGCTTCGTCAATGAAAATGCCTCATGAATACTGCCAGTCGATACTTTTTTAAAGAAATGTTTTATTCCTAAGGAACCCCAAATGCTTCCAAACCAAGAAGAGATTTCAGTAAGACTTTTTTCTTTATATGAAGCCATGTCATTTTCAGCATGCTTCCTGCTGATCCTACAACAATCCGATGATTTAGGCAAAAAGTTTCTAATTCCTAGTCCACAAGCGAGGAAACCGTGGTTGAGAGAGATACACACCTTGCTAGAGTCAGAGTGGCAGGAACAGAGCCAGACCCTCTACTATTAATACTGCATCCGACACAAGGTCCGTTTAGCTGCAGACCATGAGCTGAGTTACCCCAAGTGACAGCTGAAATACTTAGGACTTTACACCTGGTCACATCTGAAATGACACTCATTATGAGGAAGAGGATAATCCCCAAATCACGTATCAACTGCACATCTGTTCATTTCAGCATCACTTGAGCAGTGACCACATGCAGGCCCACTCCGGGCACTGGGGACAGAGAAGAATGGGGCACAAGGCCCAGGCCTGGCCACAGAGGAGGCCACCATCTCACCGGACACATATGTCACAGAAAAATCCCAGCTTACAATTTTTACTAAAATCATTTCTCAATTTGACCTGTAAGTATTCTTGGTTTCTAGAATGCTCCCAGAAAAAAAGGGAATTCTGTGACATTTAACAGAGCAGAACTTCTGAGGACTAGAGTTATTATGAGGGGTCTCCTAGTTCAAAGGCACACCAAGCATCGCCTGGAGATTAAATAAAATTACTTCTGCATCTGTGTCTGATAAAGTGCTAGAGATGGCTGAAAATGAACTCCCTCCCAAGCTGTTCCACACAGCCTGAAGGCCTGAGCACCCCAAGGTGGCACCTGGCCTTGGCCATCTGTTATCAGCACGCCTCTGTGTGTCCAGCTCCCTTAGGCAGGGGGACTGGGCCTGGGGTTCTCGAGGTGGAGGCAAGACACACACATGGGCCTAGGATGACTCACACATAACTGAGGGCTCCGCTATGCAATGCAGACCAAGATGCAGGGCACAGTGGCATGGACCCTGACCCAGAAAGCCTGCCATGGGCAGGAGAGGCTTTTCAGCCAAGGGATGACCAGAGCTCAGTGCCACAGGACAGGGACGCTTCAGGAAGATGGGAGGGCAAATGCAGAGAGGAAGGAGATATGGAGGCAAGAGCAAGGTGAATGAGTGGATCTGCTGACAGCACAGGGACCTGTGCCCACAGGGGCAGCTCTGAAGGCCCAGCACGGTCATCTGAGCAGAAATGGGTATTTCCTGAAAGAGCCAGAAGTCTGCAAGCAGAGCAAAGGCTTGGGGAAGCCGTGTCTGAAAGGGCTGGTCTAGTGGGGGAACCCGCACATCCGAGCTGCATCAGCAACCTGTGTGACTGCACCCAGACCGGGCACAGCCCATAACACACTGTTCCCCATACAACGTGAGGTCCGTGGAAGCAGCAGCCAACCAGCCTTGGTCTCCTTGGTCAGCAAGTGGCCAGGACTGAGTGAGGGAACAAAAGACAAAGGATTGCTCTGGTACGGAGGGTGAGACTGAAATTAAAGTGACTGCCAGGGACAAGAGCAGAGAGGCAGGCCCCAGACGCAGATCTGCAGAGGAGAAGTCAGGCCCAAACGAGGGCAACAGAGAGAGAAGGAGGCAGATGTCCCCCGGTGGGAGCAAGGACTGGTCTGGATCCAGTGGTCTGGGCACGGCATCCGAGTGGAGGTGCCCACCAGCAGCAGGCAACACAGGATGGGGCTCGGGGCACACTGGGGCAGAGAAATGGGGCTGGCTCCCCAGGGGGTGCACCAAGCTGAAGCTGAAAAGTATCACGAAGCTGAATCCACCTAAAGGGCACTGTCTCAGTCCGTCTGGGCTGCTATAACAAAACACTATAACTAGGGGGGTATAAACAACAGAACTTTATTTCTCATAGTTCTGGAGGCTGGGAAGCCTAAGATCAAGGCACTGGTAGATTTGTTCTCTGGCAAGGGTTCGACTCCTGCTTCATAGACGGTGCCTCCTTGCTGTGCTCACATGGTGGAAGAGGCAAGACGGCTCTCCAGGGGCCTCATCTATAAGGGCACTAATCCCATTCATGGGGGCCCCACCCCCAGGACCCGATGACCTCCTCACACCATCGCACTGGGGAAAGGTTTCAACATAGAAATTTGGTGGGGGCAACATTCAGACCATAGCAGGCAGCAAATCAAGGACCCAGTCCTGAGTGGCAGAGACAGCCCTCTGAAAGGGCAGAAAAGAAGAGATTCTACTCCCAAAAAATGCAGCAAGCTTTAGAGGCAAAGCACAGAGTACAGCAACGAGGAAGAGACTGGGAACCTCAGGGTTGAGAGTTCCAAAAAGTGGCCAGAGAGTCACAGAAAGGGGCTTAGATCAAGGTGGTGATTTTTAGAAAGCAGACACCCTCCTCAGGCCTGCACTACCCAAAGGAAGGGTCCTGCTGGGCTTGGAGGCTCACACCTGTAATTCCAGCACTTTGGGAGGCCAGAGCAGGATTATCGTTTGAGGGTAGGAGTTCAAAACCAGCCTGGGCAACACAGTAAGACCCCATCTCTATAAAAAATTTAAAAATCGGCTGGGCATGGTGGTGCACGCCTATAGTCCCAGCTACTCAGGAGGCTTAAGTGGGAGGATGACTTGAGCCCAGGAGTTTGAGGTTACGGTGAGCTCTGATGATGCCACTGCACCCTGGCCTTGCGTCAAAGGGAGACCCTGTCTCAAAAAAGAAGAAGGGTCCTGTGGCCACTAGATGACAGACACCACCTCCAAGCACTTGCCATACTGGAACAAATGACTTTTCCTGGCTCAAAGGCTTCTGGCCCTTCTAGGAAAAGACCAGCAGGGTGGCAGGCGCATTCAGAGAGTGTGTAAAAAGGCCCAAGAGGAGGCAACCAAGCATCTCTGAGCCTCCACAACTCTCAGCCCGCAGGGCAGCCTCCCTCAGGTAATGCACCGACAGAGGCCTGCTCCGGGTTTCCAGACAGCCTGGCTTCCAGGACCAGCCCTGTACCCAAGAACACTTCTCCCCACAAAGTTGTTCTGCGACACAGACACGTGCGAGTGGAGGGGCGTGGTTGCTCATGAACAAATACAGCAAAGCACCAAGAACCTCGAAGGTGCCCCCTCGCAACTGTGGACAGAGTGCTTCCACTTCTTGAGATCCTGCCTTCATGATCCTCCAAAATGAGAACAAAGATTGTGCACTAAGATACTCAACACAGAAGTATTTGTCACAGCAAGTCCCCGGAAATAACCTAAGTGCTCAGCGGTGGACAGCTCATGACACACCCACGAAACGAATCAGAACACAGCCACTGAAAATCATGCCCTTGAAGAATCGTGGATGGCATGGGGAAATGCTCGCAATGAACATCCACGTTAGAGAATGGAAGACACAGCTATTTGGTATGAACACTATTTTGTTATTAATGGACAGACATTATTTATGAACGGATGGAAGGAAGAAGAGCCAGCCAGGCTGAAAGGAAACACCAAAATCTTGACTGTAAAACTTTTTATTTTAATC